CAAGCATGCCATATGCCTTCTTTACTATCTTATCCATTTGTGTTGCCACTTTCAGGGAGCTATGGACTTGCGGCCAAGATCCCTCTTGTATATAAATATTCCTAAGAGTCCTGCCATTCACTGGTTACTTTTCCCTTGCATTTGACCCCCACCCGCCCCCCCCCAAATGCATTCCCTCACATTTGTCTGGATAAAACGCCATCTGACATTCTTCCACCCAACTTTCCAACTGAGCTACATCCTGCTGTATCTCTGACAACCTTCCTCACTGTCGATATCTCCACCAATTTTCAAGACATGTACAAAACTTTGTAATAAGACCACCTGCGTTTTCATCCAAATCATTTATACATAGTACAAACAACTGAGGTCTCAGCATTGATCCTTGTAGAACACAAACCTCCAGTCAGAAAAACAGCCGTCCACAACTACCCTCCGTCTTTTATTGACCAAGCCAATTTTGTATCCAACTTGCCAACTCTCTGTGGATCCCATGTGAATTAATCTTCTGGACAAGCCTACTGTGGGATCTTGTCAAATGCTCCAGTGAAGTCAATTTAGACTACATCCACTGCCCTACTCTCATTCATCATTCCCTCAAAAGACTCAAATCTGAGAGACAAGACCTCCCCTGCACAAAGCCATGCTGACTATCCACAATAAAATCCATTCTTTTCCAAATACAAGTAAATTCTGTACCTAACAAACTCTAAAGTCTCTAAAAATTCTAAAGATTCAATGGCCTATAATTTCCTGGATTATCCCTGCTGTCCTTCTTAAACAAAGGAACAATGTTGGTTATTCTCCAGTCATTTGGGACCTCACCTGTGGCTACAGAGAATAGCAAAATCTCTGTAAAGACCCCAGCAATGTCCTCCCTTGCCTCCCTCAGTATCCTGGGATAAAACCCCTCACGCCATGGGGACCTGCCTACCTCAAATGTTTTCAAGACACCCAACACCACTGCCGCTTCCTTAATATCGACATGCCCTAGAATATGCCCTTAGAATGCTCTTCTAAATGGGGAGAAAATTCAGAAGCCTGAAGTGCAAAGAGACTTGGGAGTTCCAGTCCAGAATTCTCTCAAGGTAAACTTGCAGGATGATTCAGTAGTCAGGAAGGCAAATGCAATGTTGGCATTTATTTTGAGAGGACTGGAATATAAAAGCAGGGATGCACTACTGACGCTTTATAAGGCTCTGGTCAGGCCACATTTGGAGTATTGTGTGTAGTTCTGGGCCCCATATCTCAGGAAGGATGTACTGGCCCTGGAGTGGGTTCAGAGGAGGTTCACGAGAATGGTCCCAGGAATGGGAAGCTTAACATATGAGGAACGTTTGAGGACTCTGGGACTATACTCATTGGAGCTCAGAAGGATGAGGGGGGGATCCAATTGAAACTTAGAGAATACGGAATGGCCTGGACAGAGTGGATGTTGGGGAGATGCTTCCATTGGTAGGAGAGACTAGGACCCAAGGGCACAGCCTTAGAGTAAAGGGAAGACCTTTTAGAACAGAATTAAGGAGAAACATCTTCAGCCAGAGAGTAGTGAATCTATGGAATTCACTGCCACAAAAAGCTGTGGAGGCCAGGTCACTGAGTACATTTAAGACTGAGATAGACAGGTTCTTGATTATCAAGGGTTATGGGGAGAAAGCAGGAGAATGGGGTTGAGGAACTTATCAGCCATGATTGAATGGCGGAACAGACTCAATAGGCCAAATGGCTTAATTTCTGCTCCTATGTCTTATGGTTTTAATATCAACATACCTTCATTAATCTTACCATCATCTATGTCCTTCTCCTTGGTGAATACCAATGCAAAGTAAACATTAAGGACCTCAGCCCACTTGCTCTGGCTCCACACCTAAACACCCTCTGTTTTTTGAGGGAGTCTGTTCTTTCCCTAGCTACCCTCTTGCTCCTAATAAGTGTAAAATGGTTTGGGATTCCCCTTAATTCTACTTCCAAAGCATATTTCAAGGTCTATTCAGCCTTCTTAATTCCTTGTCAATTTCTTTCCTGCTTCCTTCATATTCTTCAAGGGACTTGTCTGATTTCAGTTTCCTAAATTTTACAAATGCTTCCTCGTCCTTTTCAATGAAACTTTCAATATCTATCGTCATCCTTATCGTTCAACCTCACAGGCGATTCTCAACAAGCAAGATACTGACTGTCCCCAGTAAGCTTCCTCAGTATCCTCGAGTATTGGTGGGGACTACAGTACAATCCAATCAAGGTGATCATCCCCTTCTTAATTCCAAGTTCCACCCATACAGCTTCAGTGGACAATCCCACAGGAATATCCTCTAAGTACATAAAACTCCCAAGATTACAACCCTAGGAGGTCCTGTTTTTCAACTTTCTACCTAACTCCTTTAATTCCCTTTGCAGGGCCTCATCTCTCTTTCTGCCGTTGGTACTATATGGACAACATCTGCCTGCTCACCTTACCTTCTGTGCCCACTCAGAGACATACTTTCTCCCCGATACCAGGGAGGCAACATGCCATCTTAGAGTCACACTTGTGGCCACACAAACACCTATTTGCACTCCTAACTACAGAGATCTCCCTATCAATCTCTTACACTTCGACTCTCAAATACAACTAACATTCACACCATACAAGTGCCAGGCAATGACCATGTCCAACAAAAGAGAATATTAGCACCATTCCTTGACACTCAATGTTATTGCCATCACTGAATCACCCACTAACAACATCCTGGAGGTTACCATTGATTCGAAACCAACTTGAACCTGCCATATAAACTCATCATTATTGGCAGTCCCTTGCAAACAGGGATGAATCTCTTCCACTCTCATGGCGAATCTGTAAGTGGCTGCACAGTCTGTTGGAACTTCTGCAGGCTGTTACACTAGGGGCAGAAGGTGGTTGCAGGAAGGGGCGGGTGGGACGTTGGTGTGGCACACTCCTTTATGCTGTTTTCACCTGGCTACAACAATGGCAACAAGAGCAGGTCAGGGGCTTGGAATCTTATTATCAGTAACTCTACCTTCTGGCTCCCCAAAGCCCATCCATTTGAATCAGTGAAGTCCCAACAACACTCAAGAAGCTTGACACCATCCAGGACAAAGCAGCAGCTTGACTGGCATCACATCAGCACACATTGTACCATTTTGAGACCATGCTGCAGAAATCCATCAAGGGTCCTTAGACAGCACCTTCTAAACTCAAGATTCACTACTGCCTGGTTGGCCAAGGACAGCAGATACATGGGAACACCATCACCTGCAAATAAATGTATCGTTGGTCCTTCAGTGTCAAGATCCTGGATCTCTTCCCAAACAGCATTGTGGGTGTACCTTTACCAAATGGACTGCAGTGGTTCAAGATAACAGTTCACAGCCTTCGTCTCAAGTGCAATTTGTTATGGGCATAAGTGCTTGCCCAGCCAACGAATCCCACATCCTCAAATGAATGATCAAACCTGGAGCAACAACGGATCCATTAACTTAAGTTAGCTAACAGTAAGCAGCTAATGGACTGAAAAATATCTCGCTTGTTCGAGACAGCAATTTGGCAAAGGTATACCTCACCAACTTGCGTTTATATAACACCTTTAAAACAAGTATATGTTTGTGACGCACTTTGGAATAATGACAAAATTAGACATCAAGACAAAAGAAGCGATATTCAGACAGGTGACTACAATATTGTCAAACAAGTAAACTTCAAGGGATATCTTAAAAGGAGATGCAGAAACATGAAAATGTTAAGGGAGAAAACTCCAGTGCCTAGGATTTAGATAGCTGAATGCATGAGGCCAGAGCTCAATGGACAGAAGAGGGTACTGTACTGGGAGGATTGTAGGCCTGTAGATATTTAGAAATAGGAATGAGAGAGGCGATGGGAGATTGGAATACAAGAAATGAGAAATTTAAAATTGTATTCAAATTCACCAACGTCTCAATGCAGGTGAGACTACACCAGAGAGTAAGTTAAGGTGTTACGTTCTGGTACTACAGAATAAAAATCCTGAATAGTCAGCTGGTAAGTGTTCTTAAATGGAGATGCAAGTGGCAATCAATTCACCAGTATTCAAATAACTGAAATTCGCTAATAAATTTAACCTGGCAATACAAATTGGCAACAGTATACTGCAGAAAATAGTAGCTCAGATATTGAACAAGTTATTCTGTTTAGGTCTTAATGCGAGTATAGCATCACAGCTTATTTCCTGATGTTCTAACGTGCATTATAATTCAGCTGTGACACCTCAAACAATTCAAATTTTCTGAGGACCAAATAACATTTGCACATTCTGCAAACCAAAAGAAAAGCTTCCCAACCAATCAGCCCACACTGAAGAATTTTGTTCATCCTATTGCACAATTGTTCCTTCCCCTACACCTGTTGTGGGGTACTTAATGAAATAACTGAAAAAATTATTTTTTTTTAAAAAACACTTGCACATGTATAGAGCAGTCTGAAGTTTAGTCTCAGTTTCAAACTTTGAAACTCCATTGGGCATCATGCAACAGTTTATGCAGATTACAGCTGCATCTAAGCAAAAGCAAGGTGGCTATGCTATAAGTCTGGAGTTGAGTAGGGAAGCAGTCAATGATAGGAGGAAAACAGTAGCCACTACCACTTTCACTTCCCACCTTATAAAACAAATGAAACATCATAAATGAATGGAACGTATCACTGGAATTGTGACAAAAGTGAAGTGCAAACAAGCAAGTTATATATTCAAGTAAATAACTCGTCACAGGATTGCGAGAAAAACTTCTGACTAATCTTACAAACATATTTGAAAAGCTATAATGGATTAACCAAAAAAAAAGCCATCAACATTAATTGCACAAACTGAAAACCACCCGCATCTCCCACTCAAATCAAGCAAACAGCATTTCAGTGCCTCCAAGTGAGTAATTCTGGTTGGTCTGACAAGGGCTAGAGGACAAATTAGAAGTATCTTGCTGCATTCTCTATTTGAATTATGAGAACATGACTCAGCATTGCTTGTTCTGACCTGGTTTTTGTATCTAGTTTGACTGAGGTTGTAGAGCTGGCAGAGTCTTCAGATATCGAACGCTGCAGGAGAGATGGTCGTTCATTGGTCTCCATTTCTGTAAGGATATCCTCCTCCGGTGAGTCATCTTTAATGTCTGTTAAGAAAAGTAAACCAAACAGTTCCAATGGTATCAAATGACCACCCAAACTATCCAGTATATTTCCACTGATACAATACAATCCATAATTTGTGTTACCTAAAAGGAAATATTAGATAGTAGCTTAAAAGTACTAGGCTTTGTTTAAAATGTAGCACAACATAGATTAGTGACCCCATGTACTAATGGAAAAAGTGCCTTCCAATCTACCCACAAGCCTCATGATCTTATATGTATTAATCAGGACTCTCACAACCATCGCTCAAATTGAAGAGATATACAAGTTACAAAGGATAAGTATGTAGAACTCTGGAATTAGGAGTTTGGGAATCCATGCCTGTCATTGAAGCATTTTTTTTTAAGTAGGAAGCAGAATAGTAACCATTTCAACCATTTTAACCAACAAGTTTTTCGTAACAGTTGCAGTACTTGTGGAGGACAATGTCTTGATAAGATTAAAATCAACTGCATTTTTTAGTGAGAGAGATAGTAGGAACTGCAGATGCTGGAAAATCTGAGATAACAAGGTGTAGAGCTGGATGAACACAGCAGGCCAAGCAGCATCACAGGAGCAGGAAAGCTGATGTTTTGGGTCTAGACCCTTCTTCAGAAATGGGGGAGGGGGAAGGGGAGGCGGACAGAGAAGGGATAAAGCAGAAGATAGGTGGAGAGGAGACAGACAGGTCAAAGAGGCGGGGTTAGAGCCAGTAAAGGTGAGTGTAGATGGGGAGTTAGGGAGGGGATAGGTCACTCCAGCGAGGACGGACAGGTCAAGGAGGCGGGATGAGGCTAGTAGGTAAGAGGTTGGGGTGGGGCTTGACGTGGGAGGAGTGGATAGGTGGGAAGGAAGGACGGACAGGTTAGGGAGGCGGGGGTGAGCTGGGCTGGTTTTGGGATGCGGTCGGGGGAGGGGAGATTTTGAAGCTTGTGAAGTCCACATTGATACCATTGGGCTGCAGGGTTCCCATTAGTTCTTTGTTTGAGACAGACCACTTAATCTGGCAGTAGAGAAGTTGACTCAAATCCACAGATCATGGCGCAAGTCACAAACCTGAGCATCATTCTTATGTAACTTATTTGCCAGTTTTTAAATTTAGCATCTTCCATGCAGTCTCTCAATAAAACACGTTAACTCGTAGGTGTCAATACGGGGAGAGAATTTAGATGAAATCTTTCCTAACATATTGCCATTGCTAAATTTATTCGGCATAAGATTTCAGCAATCACACTAAAGATCCAGGACAGCTGTTTTTAAAAATCATAACCACCTACCTTCATGCCATATCTTTCATTCTCTTCTCGTCCGAAATATACCCAATTACTCTTTTTATACAGATAGACTCTGAACTTCTGCAGTAATTTATTCTATACACCTTTCACTGTTACAAAAACTATTTTAACTTGTTTTCTTCCTTACTTTTGTAAAAAAAAAAATCACCTAATATTTGCACTTCATGTTATAACAAACAAGATACAGGAATAAATTGTTCTTTGCATAGTATTTCCCACTAGGAATGGGAAATACACGTGTGAATAGTAGGCAAGGCCAACATCTTATCAATTTTTTTTTATTATTTGAATCCACAGCTGCATCTAAGAATTTCCTTACAGCTGTTAATGAGATCCATCCTGTGACTCAAACTCACATTTGAAATGGAACTATTAAATGAGCTCCCTTTCCTCAATGGCCTAAATTGAGAAGTTGACCAGAGGGTTCTCTACTGCCAATCTACCACAAACTTCCACATGTTGGTATGCTCGTTGGGATCCGTACAGTTCAATTCATTACAGATATTTTTAAACAACCCATTCAGACATGTCATGACACACCTCTGCAGCAGGATTTGAAGCAGGATCTTCTGGCTCAAAGATAGGGACATGACCACTGTACCACAAGAGTCCCTTCCATTCACTGTAAGATTGGCCTCATTGGTAACCTCATACATAGGATCTGAGCCAAATACTAATTTACGATGGCAGCGGCAGAGTAGCAGAGCAGCATGTGGGCTCCTCAGCCCAGGAGCCCGTAGCTCATCTACTCCATTCGCTTTTACAATGTTTTTCGTTTTGTTTCCAATTAGTATAGTTAATATTAAAACATCAAAAATTCATTGTACTTTCATTTAACGGCTTATCCAGTGACAGAGTGACTTCTGGTGGCTGTCTTTCGCTGACATGGTGGTCTTGGCCTTGTGGAGCGGTCTCCTAGCATGGCAGTTTTGTCCCTGTGTTGAGGTCTCGTCGGCAGTCCGACTTAATCTCTGGTGAATACTTCTGGCCCAGTGTTCTGACAGCCCGGCATGGTGCCTTTGTCCAGGTTGGTGGTCTTTTTCCCAGTGGCGTTTTCTTCTGTAGATGCTTTCAGCTCAGCGTTCCAATGCCCCGGCATGGCATTTTTCATCCAGGGTAGTGGTCCTGTCCTGGCCGCAGTTTTCTTCAACAGAGGCTTTGGTCCAGTTTTTCTGGCGGTCCGGCATGTCTGCTTCGTCCTTGCATTTGCATTCCGGCTGTGTATTTCATCTTTTGATTGGTTTCCTATGAAACCAGGTGCTGTTAACTGGACTGTGATGAACTTTTGTCTTAAATTTACTTTTTATTGTTACTTATAACACTTTTCATTGTATTTTTCTTGTAAAAGTACACGACAATAAATTCTAAATGCAATTCAATTCAATTGTTTACCATGCAGGTTTGATGTCGAAATAGGGCAAATCAACATCTCCCGCAGTTGTATATTGTGCAAACTCATGGAAGGTCCTATGGGGTTGTCTTGATTCTGATGCTCAGATTAATCTGGAAGAGTAAGGAATCTTAAAAGTTTAAGCAGAGGTAAAACTGGCTGTTTCATGCTGCTGTGCAGCAGAAACACAATGGGTGTTTGCCACTGACAGGATGCTACTCTCATACTAAAGAGACATTCTGCTTATCATTCAAATGAGTCATACGGTATAACCATTTCAGTGCTGCCATGATGCCAGATACGTAGATTGTATAACCTAGAGGATGGTGGATCTCAACAAACAGCATGTCCTTTTGGTTCTTCGCGACAAGCAAGATATTGACTGTTCCCAACAAGCCCGTGCTTGCAAAACTCATGACTGTATCTAACGTTAGAAGTGATTCAGCAACTGGATAACATTTCCTGATTAATGCTGAATGCCTGAGGAATGACAGTGACAACTGTCAGTTGGGTTCACAGTGTGGCACATGTGCGTCTACTGGACACTATAAAGGTTAATATACAGGGTCCTGTTCTTTACAGTCAGAAGGAATTCAACCAAATTCAATTCAACAAAACAGGTAACTGGTTCAGGTCTCAGGGAAATATCTTCACAAATCAGTCAAACCTGCTTGGTTTAACATTTAAATAAAGCCTGGCTGTTAACTGGCAATTAATATTAATATGTGCATTCTTGATGGCTACACCTCTACCACTTGTCAACCAATCAGTACTTTCTTCTCATGCACGCTTGTTTTCCCTTTGAATTTATGTTCTTATGAAATGTTCTCATAAGAACACAGAAAACTTTGACAAAACATGTCTTTCAGCAAAACCCAAGTTCTATACTACCAAATGGTCATTAATTTCCTTTTCCTAATAAAGAAACAGCAGACTCCAAATGGTCTTTGAAGACAAACCCAGGTTTCAAAAGGCAAAATCTATAATTGTACTGTCAACAAACCTGCACTATCATGGTTCACTGAATTCCTAGACAGAAACAAGGCAGGTTCTCTCATGTGAGCCCATGCAGAACTACAAGGTTAGAAATCCAGAGCTGCCAAGCAGAGCAATTTAAAATGTCAGTGAAGATCATGAAGGAAATTTCCAGCAATCATTAAAAAAACCTTCATTTATTTACATAAATTTGGTAATACTGTTTCTTATTGGTCATTTCAATTGCTCAATATTGCACAAAGTTAGTTTCAATTTCAATAATTTAGATCAATTATTACTAATTAGGCAATATGATTTAGAAAATATGGCATTTCAGTAACAGGCAACTAAAATATGAAATTTAACCTAATCTTCACCCTTCCAAAATTCAACGATATTGTGATTACTGCTACCCAAGGATTCCTTTACTTGAAGATTTGAATTAATCCTGTTACTTGAAATATTGCCAATTACAGAATATAATCACTCGAAGAAACTCTCCCAAAAGCATTCTACAAACTCATTCAGGCTAGTATAACTAATGTAATTTTTTTTGTCGTTTAAAGTGATTATTGCCATCACTTTATCACAAGCAGCCAATATTTTGTTTTGCATACTTCATCGTTTATCATATTGTTAGGGACCCATAGATCATTTCCACTAGTGGCAAGACTAGTATCGTTTACTATACCTCATCTCCCAACAGTACAGATCCCATTTTCCCCAGTGCTGGTGCCAGTTCCCCACAATCTGGAACCCAGCGCTCCCACATCAGGCTTTCCTTGCATTTGTTTTTCTAATCTTAAATGCCCAATGCCATTTTCAGATGCCTCAAGCAGTAATCCAGAGGTTCTGCTTTCTAATTTAGCGCCTGGTTTCCCGTGTTCTCCTGGCACAAACTCTTTTCTAGTACCACTGAGAGGCATTGACAAAATCCCACCTATGTCATTGGTACAAATATCAATCACACTTTACTAGTAAATATTTAGCAAACTAACAGCACAGTTCAGGGGGACATAAACAGCCAAGGATAGACACTGATGTAGGCTCAAATGCGAAGTGATGCAATTTGGAAGAAACAAGACACGAGGCAGAATGATATAAATAGTACTACTTTAAAGGAGATACAAGTAGAGATTGAGGGTGCATATTAAATCAATACAGAAGGGTGGCAGGGCAAGCTGATAATACACTTAAGTGTATCAGGTACTTGGCTACAGTAACTGAATACAAAAACAAGCAGCTATGATTAGACCTTGACAGATCACCAATAAGGCATCAGCTGAAATGTTATTTGGCACCACAATTGAAGATGAATATCAAGCCCTTAAAAAGGGTAGAG